GAAGAACCTTTTGAAGCACCTTTATTTTTAAGAGTGTATATGACTGTAATTTACTTCCATAAATCCAGACAGATATTTTGGTGTGAATTTGGAGGGGTCAACATAAGTACATTTTCAAATAATAAACATTACTGTTTGCCAAACAAATTTATTTAATCAAAAATAATAATTCATTAATAATTTATTTCATTTCGATTAATCAAAATATCTTCTTTTGTATCTCACTGAAAACAGAAACCATACACGTTTGGAGTGAGCTGTCTCTTTAAGAAACAATCTAAATTGTACTTGCATGATGACAGTATGTAGTTAATTGCAATGTCAGAATGTATGTGACAACATGTAGTACATGAACTAGAAGATGTACGACACTTGAACCTCACCTCATCATAGATGCTGTCGTTCTTATCGAAGTCTCCAGCCTTCCTCGGAAGCACGTGAACATGGACATGCTGTAATTACAAGAGGAACAGATGAACGGTTAATCGAAAAACTTTCATTCCACAAAGCTGATGTCACTGTCAGAGAAAGTAAGGGCAGGTACGCTCTACCACCCTCCATATCACTTCCTTCATTACAACACAGTCTTCTGGCAGCATTTCAGTGTTAACTTCTCTGAAATCATGCAAGAGTTACTGTAAGTTCCAACAAGCGTGTATCCGTAAACCTCTAAGACTACTTATTTTTTTAGGCTTTTAAAACTTAAATTGACTTTGTCAGATGTCCTCGGCGAATTCCCTTCTGCAATATGCTGTCACAAACTTGGCCATCTGCACGGTTAGTTTGTAAAATTGTGCTTTCCTTGGGTGCACATTAGCAACGTAATTTGAGTCCCAGTAGAACATGCTCTGTTTTAATGAACAAAACATTTGGTTTTGTGTATACTGTGCCTACCCGACATATTTTCAGTATTTTCAATTTTTTTGGAGAGCTGGGTGCACTATATTGGGCAATAATATGATGCTCTTTTTTCTTTTCATCTGGATCTATACAGTTATGTATTAAAGTAAACTGGTACAACCAACAAAGTCAAGTAATGTAACCAATATTCAAATGAAATTACATCATGGAAGGGACCCCTGCAGACCCTGTGCATCAAGATCAACAAGTCTCCTAAAATATCAGATAAGATTAGTTAAGGTTAAAGGGTTAGTTCACCCAAAAATGAAAATTAGCCCATAA